AGCGTCTTTATGGTAAGAATCTGGACTTGACTTCCCAAGGAGGGGTGCAGTCCCTAACCTTGGAAGTCTTCAAGAGGAGACTGGACGGACATCTTGCTCATTTGACCTCAGCAGTATTCCTGCCCAGAGGAGGAGGATACACTCGATCTTTTGAGGTCCCTTCCAGCTCTTGATTTCTATGATTCTACCTCACTACAAAAGTTGATAGTCCCAGCAAAGAGAACCAGTGGACTGCCCTTTGCAGAGCGTTCACTGACCGATGCATCTTCTCTTCTCCCCCAGCATTTCCTTATGGGCTGTTCTGGGCAGGGAGATGGCTATACCATAAGGACTCCCCAGGAGGGAGCTTCTCCTGTTACACTCATGCCAAAGAAGAGGCCGACAGATTCAGAGACCTTTGCTACCTCTCTGTCGAAGCATGCCCCTTGCATCGTGTGCTTCCAGCATCTTCCATTGAGAACAGTATTGCTTTCTTTTACTGAGACTGTTTCCTTCAATGAGAATGCATCCAACCTGCTCCTGCATCTCTCTCACTGCGATTATCTCCACTTCCTTCCCCTGAGAGTTTCTCTTGCCAGTCTCAGTACTATTTCCCATCTCCAGCTGACTTATCCCTTGGTGACTGGACAGTCACCTCGCTGGGGTCACTTGACCCCAGTTGTCTCCTGCCTAGAGCAGGTTGGGGCTGGCCCCAATGATCTGCGAGGTCTCTTCTGGCCTCTACCAATTTATGAATCTATGAATCCCCCTTTGCATGTCCATGTGCCTCACCTACTTCCCAAGTTTGCTTTGCCTACCCACTGCCAAGTGTCACCAGCCTCCACTGCTATCAAGGTTTTAAGGCCAACACTGTGCATGTAGAGCTTCCATGAAGGCCGACTGTATGTGAAAATCACTGCGGGTTGATATTTGCATCAGTGGTGAGTTTGCACATGAGTTGCAACGTTAAGATCCACCTCAGCATGTCCCCAAAGTTTCAGGGATTTGGACATCCTAGATTTGGCTCCAGTGTATTTCTAATTCTTCGATTCCTTGCCCTGTATTGATGTTAGAACAGTGCTGCCATCGCCAGGACTTGGCTTTCTTTTTCTGCCTATCGCCTAATAATTGGCTATTCAGTATGAAAGTCCTTAGGAGAATAGGTGTGCTTTCATACATGTCTACGAAGTGCCATTGGCACCCAGTGTAGGGTTAGGCAAGATGAGAATACACAAAACTCATAAAAGTAGCCAAAGTGTGAGTTAAGCTGTTGCTCTCACAGATATTTCAGTGGCAGCTTCATCGTAATTTAACAAGGGCACAAAGAAATCAGGTCTTAGAATTTGCTTTGCAAATGGAAAACTTGCAAAGTTAAGATTTTTGGGGGATGTCTTCTCAAGGACAATTAGACATCCTTTCCCCGGCACTGGTTATTTCAAAGCCAGCTATTAGCATTAAAGAGTGATTTTTGTTTCTACATTACTTGGAGTTCCAAGAAAGAAATACAATGTTTCCCCCATCCCCGTCATTGAGACAACTTTAATTATGTAGATGTTTTATGATGCTTAAAAAGCAATAAGGTTGAATAATAAGCAATAAAGAATCTGGTTGAAATTAATCCCTGGTTTGTATATAGTAGGGATGCCTCTCTCTCCTACTGAAATCACTATATCCCTATATTGTGTAGCCCACGGAAATCAGACTCAGGTCACTCAGCAATAAAAAACAACCTTGTAATCAAAAGATCTTCAGTTACTAAAGACTCTAAAAAAAAGTAAAAAAAAAAAAAGCCACGCTTTCCCCCAATTCTTATGAAAATGGTTCCTTTTGAATTTGAAGGCAGAAGCAAGAAGAAAGTGTTGCAAGCTAGTGACATACTTGTGAAGTTTCCCACATCTTTTGAACTAGCTGGGTGCATCTACATGCACAATTAGCACAACCCAATAAACTCCAGTGCAGTTTGTGCCAGAGTTTATTGCTCCTGGGCACCATGTTTACATGTGTGCCCAGGATCACAGCACGTTGAGCCGGGCTGGAGCAGCCCTGGCTGGCACGGAGCCTGCAGGGGTTGGCGTGCCAGCCCAGGGCAGCTCCGACCTGGCTCAATGTGTTGTAGAGGGGCTGGCTGGGGGATGAGCATGCTCCAGTGTGGGGCTAGCCAGCAGCCATCCCCCACTGAAGCACCCTCACGCCAACCTGCCCCATCAGTGTCTACACGTGCGTTGAGGTGCAGTAAGTAATACTGCTGCAGGATAGCACTTGTATTTACAAGTACTATCCTCCAGTGGAGTTTATTTGTTTGCTGCGGCCTACTAGACTTGCACATGTAGACGCTGAGACTTTACTGCAGAGCTAATTCGGCAACTCCGCAGTAAATATCTCATGTAGATGCAGCCGCTGCGTCCAAAACAGGAGTGTTCTCAACCCCACCGTGATGTCCGTGAAACCTGTGCTCATGACCCTTAGGGAGGAGCTGGGCCCACATGGTATCTAAATGCTATTGCTTCTAATTTTTGAGAGGAATGCCTACATTTGTCAGCTCATTGCTTTTTATAACACAAAATACCATGAGTTCAGATGGGACGGGAAGGGACACACTTGCATGGCCAATAGACACAAGCTTGTTATTGGATCATGCATAGGCAGCAAGTCAAAACACAAATGTTAAAAAAAACAAAACTCAGCACTTACATGATGATGGTTTTCTTGGGCACTTTAGTCTCTTGTTCAGTGACTACAAAGAAAACAGTATGAACAGCATGGGGTTAAAAGAAAGACAAAAGCTGAAATGATTAAATTCACTTTGTTAAGTTAATTGAGAGAAACTTGAGTGGAAAAAAAAACCACCTGTACTATCCCATCCATGCTTTCTGTGGTTATTTCCAATGTTATCCTTAGCATCTCTGATAGGGACTGAAGGGTTCATAAAGTTATGTCTGCAAAGTACAGTTGGGAAGCGAAGTGGATTTTTATGGATGTCAGTATTATAAAATGAAAAAAAAAATGCTTTTCCCACCTTGAAATCCTGTCCCTTGTCTTGGGAAGATCAAAACTACAAAAAGAAGTTACTTATTTCTGCAAAAATAAAAATATGTCCCTTCATGAGTACATTCAGTTTGAGCTAGTTTTCGGCATTGACTAGCAAAGGAATTTCTCAGGCAGACTAAAGCATCAATCAGCTTGCTGTGAGATGAATGTATAGGAATGAAAAAGGGAATTATGGAAAATAAGCAAAGGAAAAGGAAAAAATAAATCCTAAAAAAGGGAGTCCATCTCTAGATCTATAGACTGAGACAGTGCGTGCGCGTGCATGCGCATGTGTGTGTGCACGTGCATACTCCATCCGCGCTTGGTCAACTCTCCATTTCTCTTTATGTTGAGTCCTATCAGTATCAAATATATTGTGCACTAGAAGTAAATCATTTTTTAAAATTGAGGAAAAAAAAAACTAGGGCTGATTGAGCAAAAATTTGTTTTAAATGGATTTTTTTTTTTATTAGGAAAGAAATATAATATTTGAGGAGCTAACATTTGGGGATGTTCATCATTTTCCTCACCTAGCTCTGGACTTGGAATCAAACCTCCATTTGAACCAGTATGTATGGACTACATCCGGAGCTGCTGACTCTGTCTGGGAGTTTGCAGTATCCGACACCATGCCTCGCTCTGTATTTAGTGATTAGTTAGCAAATTGCCTAAGAAGCTACATTTTCTTTTGAGCTGTATGTCCAAGAACCAGCTTACAACTATCTAGGCCAGCCTACACAGCAAAAAGCTCTAGTATTTTTGTTTCTTTAAAAAAATACTTCAAAGGTGAACTGCCATTTTTTTTTAAGAAAGCGATTTACAGTCCCAAGTCATTATGATTATCATAGCATTGGTCATAAAAAAGCAACATTTACAAAAAATTATTGGACAATAATATTTGAGATAACACAGATTCTTCCAGTTCAAGATATAAGGAAGTTCTGTGCTGCCGCTGCTGTATCTGTTGGCAAATGCTGCCTTTTAAGAGTAGCCAAAATATCCTCGGCCTTAAAATTAAAAATATATTTACGCTGCAAGACATGATGGTTTATACCATCATGTATGACATAAATATCCCACTGAGATCGCAATTGAGAATGTGGGCGTCAATTTTTGCTCTGGTCCTAGAATTCCACGTTTTCTCTGCAAATTCTCCTCCCGTTTACATCTGTGCAAATCTGAATTCACTCCAGTGAAACTACTCCAGAGTGACGCTGCTTTAAATGAGATCAGTTTGGGACCTGGCATCTGGAATTTAGACCTTAGTGAACAACTTCTTCTTCTGTCTTCAAATACTTCATCTCCAAAGGGAATACAATTGTAAGACTACATGTGTACTTTGTGGAAAACCTGGAAAACTTTAAAAACCTTTTCTTAAAAAAAATAAAATAATTGCAGTTCAGTGGCAATGGATGCTGGATTGAGCCAGTCTAAAGTATTTTGCTTTTGTGTCCAGGTGAGAGATACCGTGAGATCATTAACCCCTTCAATCAAGATTCCCAAATGTGGATCTAATTTAGGTAATAAAACTATTAGACATACCCTCCCCATGGGACTTATGCTCCTCATTTCAATGGGGTTACACCTGACCTATACTTTAGCAACCAAAAAGAGAATCAGTTCTACCCTATTTTTTTAAGTTCAATTATCATGCATTGGAAAATGTCTGAATCAAAGTATTTTATAAGGTTCTTTAAAGAGTTGCTGTATGCTGAATACTTGTGGATTGTTAAAAAATGATTTAATGAGTATCCAGATAGACTTGTATGACATATAGGAAACATTTCTAAATATGTGTGCTTATTAGTTGTTATGTTGAACTATGACTTGCTATACTTAAATAAATGCACTAAATAAACTAAATACACTGCTTTCTTGCATTGAACTTCCACGAGCAAGGTCTGGTCCTGTAGTCCTTCCAAGTGACATCAGTTGCAGTCTCCCTGGTATATGCCAATGGGGATTTTTTATATAAAAAAAAATCTGTATATAAAAGTACAGTTGGTGCGCTCAAGTGAACGGGGCTCATGAGTTAAATAGGGACTACAGCGTAGCACCCAACAGTTTACATGTACTGTCACCGAAGCCATCCAATTGGTAGGATAGAACCACATGAAAGTAGGATGAGGGAAATAAGGGTTTTCTTTTTTATCTAGAAAAAAAAAATCCCACATCAATTTCAGTATGATGAGGACTAATTTTAGGATTTATCATTTCAACTTTTTTTGGTTGGTTTGTTTAAAAAGCATTTTAGGAAACGAGCTGTGCAAAGCAGGAGCTCGTAATCGGCAGGTTAAAAGCTCTAAGCATTAGGCTCAGGCAATGCTTTCACACCCTAGGCTCCTGCTTTGTTAATATGTTAAACCGATTGCTCACGCATTATGAAATGATGAGTGTGCAGGAAGATAAAAACCTGGAGCTGCAGGAAGGATGGTTTCCAACACGACCTTTATTACAAGCTGCAAATTCCACTTTCTCGCCCATCAGAGCACAGCCGAGCATAGCAAGATCGCTGCGCCATTTCCAACTCCGAATTCTTATGTTACTTTTGACAGCTGACAGATAACAGGGGTTTTTACAGACCTGCTGTCAGCTGTCAAGGCTCGTTTCACTGAAGATGATCCACATAACTTTCTAAACTGCCTTGTGTGTAATGCAAATGCACATCAGAGTGACACGCGTGGTGACAAAAGCAAAGTTATAACTTGTGAACCCTTTACTTCCAAGAAGTGCCCTCTCCTAACTATGACAGAGCCCTAAGGGCATCCTCACACGTTGTCCAGCCTCATCACTTTGCTAGCCCTAAGTTTAAAATCGGTGCCAAACAGCAACCATCAAAGACTGATTATAAAAGGCAAAAATGGAAACATTAAAAATACCCTCACTGTCACCCTAAAAATGGAGCATTTAATCGGTCATGGAGGCAAATCCGCATTCCCTATTTCTTCAGAAAGTAATAGACCCCAAAATGTCTTGCAGTGCTACTGTAATCTTGCAGTCACGGTTCTCAAACATTTAATGTTATCCTCTGGGAGGTTTTACAAGGCCAACAAGGCACAGGGTGTTTAGGTAACTTGCCCAAAGCCTGGCTTGGAGCCAGAATTAGATTTGGGAACAAAACTTAGGAATTTATATTCCCATCTCTCTGGTATAAATACCCTTGGTTGTAGCATTTGTTCTTCCAAAAACTCCTGCCTATTTCTCTTTGCAATTATTCCCCCATGCGCTCGTCCTTCAAAATCTGTCCCATGCCAATCTGAGACGATGAAAATTCAACCAGGCCCAAAACGGCTGCAGTTTGTTTCTTCCTTTTGTCTTTTTTTTTTTTTTCCAAAGGGTTGATCACTGGTTAGTGAAGCTGGCCAGAACAATTTGCCAGATGAAAATGTTAAAAAGGAAAGCAAGAGCCATGGCAAGTCAGCGGGTTTCACATACAAGCTAAGCAGAAAGGAGATCGGGGGCAAAGCGGATACTCGACATGAAGACAAAGAGACTGGTTGTTTCTTTAGCAAATGACATTATTTTTGCCCCCAAAAGCTACAAAAATCCATCAGGTTTATACAAAATTTGGATTTTTCTTTTTAAGCAGCTCTCAGTTGGTTCCAATGGAGCAAACGGGTATGAGAAGTTAGCTCGATCTGTAGGCTTGCAGCCTAGATGGCTAGTTGCGTACTAATGGGCTTAGCGACTGGATAGTGTTCGTTCTGCAAAAAAATAATTGGCGTTGTGTAATAAACTGAGAGACAACCATGGAGAAAGGCAGGGCAAAAAGCTGGCAACAAATGACCCTTTAAGAGCCATCCAAGACACTGATAACAATCGCGTGGTACCGCTAAACAGGTCTGCAGCACTAGTGAGCAAATGAGCTAACGGTCTCTAATATAATGATTTGAATATAGCATACCATGGCAGCCTTGTCTTTCAGGTAAAGTCGCAAACAACACCATTCACGCAAATGCACAGCATCAAAAGGGTGGAGAAACACAGCTCCAGGCAAGTTTGCCTGCAGATGGTCCTGACCTCTGGGCGGAGATGCCGGGTAAATTTGTGGCTGTGAAGCTGGAGCAACTCCACTGAAAGCAAGGAAGTTACTTCAGGGACCTTCAAGAAGGGCCTGATCCGACTCTCACTGACTCCACGCAGAGCGGGATGGGGGCCCTACTGCCTTCAGCACCGGCAGTCTGCACCCACTTGCCCAAAGCAGAACATCACCAATCCCAACACCACAGGTTTTATTTCACAGCATTGTTGAGGCTTCCAGGCCACTGTCACCTGAGATATCTTCAATCAGCATCCCATGTTTTTCATGGACTGCACACCACCGCACGAGTCATTTCTGGAAGAATTTAAATGCTGACGGCTCTACCACCGTCACATAACGTTTAAGGCAGCTTATCTACTTGGTTTCAAATTGCAGTCTAGCCAGATGCAAGATAACGGTGCCAAGAGATGGTGCATTCTCAGTATCCTGAATTCAATGGAGTCCCTCCCTGTCTAGGACACGTTATGGAGAGACGCGGGTCACCACTCCTCCAGCTGATTCAGTTAAGGTTTTGATCTACTAATTAGTCTCCCCCTGAAGTCTCACTCACTGTTTGGATGGAGTCATGTATTCACCCCAAAACAAAGTCAGTTTGGGGGATTCAACATGTGGCATGCATGGATATGGCCCCAAATTAGGTTTACTTTTATGGCGTTGAGTCTCTAATTGTAGGTAACTATTCCATTTTCTTGTTCTCATATAAGCATATGTGTTATAGTATTAGATACACAGGGGGTGCTGATATATATTTATATATAAACATGAAACGTCACTGAAACAGTTATTAACTTAAATGGTCATCATCTAGTTTCACTTAGAAAAGACAGGGGTGGAGAATGTTTCCAATTCTCCATTTTTCCCCCCAATCTTTTCTCCTATGCCTGAAGAAGGGAGCTTGTGCCCGAAAGCTTGCAAATAAAGAATTTTTTTTTTGCAAAAATCTAGTTGGTCTAATAAAAGATATCACCTCTGCCATGAGTTCTGAGTCCTTTTACCATCTAGACCAATACGGCTACAGCCTGGATACGTGGCTGAGAGCTGGCATTTGATTTGGGTTGGTTACTGGTTCTCCGTGCACACCGGCTGGGAGGCACCAGAAACCTGGATCTGGCCAGACTATTATCAATTTATATTTTGAAAGACGATTCAGGAGCTTGATACCTGGCTAGTCATGATCACACAGGAGAGATGGGTATGGGATTAGCGAATTGACATGTCTAAAAGGGATTCAAGTCTGTAGGCTGTTAAATAGACACCTTCAGGAGGTTAGAAAGTTATTGACAGTGTGAGCCCCGCTAGAAATGAAGGGGTGCTGCATGTTAGGAGCCAGACTGGCACAGGTACCTAAAGCCTGCCCCTAAAGCATGGCTTTGTCTTCAGTCTTCCTGGGTAAAAGGTGGCATGAAGTCCCCCAGCCAAGGAGGCTGGAAAAAGCAAGCTGAAAGGGGGATGCAGAAGGCTCTGGCTTGAGCTGGCATGCTCCCTATCTTGGGAAGCTGGGTAGGGACTGCAGCTTTAGATTTAAGATGCCCGGTACGACCAGGTCAACGTCCTGGTATTTTCTTTTGCTGGTGTACTCCTCTGTCTCTGCCTGCATCTCAACACATGGTTCCTGATTTCTTATGTAATAAATCCTTTTATTACAAAAGGATCCTTTCATTGTTCATCTCCTTGCTGCTTGCCTGAGTGACTTCTTTGTAGGCAATATTCCAGGGTGACTCCCTCTGTGGAGAGGGGGACCCATAATTTCTTCCATGGCTCAAAGTGGGGGCCACCTGTGGGCTGGCAGAGCGTCCCCCATTGCAGCAGCAGGGTCTGGTGTCAGGGCAGTGGAAGTGAGTCTGGCTGGGAGAGGGAGATATCTAAGGCCCAACTCAGTCTGCTCCCTGGGGCAAGTGGCTGCAGAGTGAGGAGAAACTTGAAGTTTAGGGATTCTTCGTGGGCAGGTTTGTGGCAGATGGTACCATAATACATAGCCTCAAGGAAAGCAAGTATACAGCAAGGGTAAAGGAATGCATGTATATGTATGAATGCATTTATTGAAATTTTACAAGGAGCCAGATCAGAGTAATAATTAAAAGCACCAGCTTTGCTATGCTGCTGCCAGGGAGGCATGGCACAGCACACCAAATGTCTTGCTACAGGTCCACAGGCATGATTGGCAAACCTTCTCCACACTCATGCTGCTGGTGGAAACAACCTGACCCAGCTGGAAGTGGGGACCTGTTCATTTAGGCTGGAGAGTCAAAGGCAACTGGCCATGATCATTCACTTCTACACCAGTGGGTACGGTGGTGCCTTACCTACCTTAGCCCTCTGGACCGCTAGGCTTGCTGAACATCTGACTTTGACTTCCCTACGCTGCAAATTCATTAAAACAACTCATTCCTTAAAACAATTTATTCCAACCAAACTAATAAGTCAGAGGCCTTGATACGAATGTTGGTAGCCTGACATTAACACTAGTTCAAAGGCAAACCTAATCGTTAAGCATACCCTCCTTCATCAAAAATTAACCTCTGCTAGTCGCGGTCCCCACTGGCATGAGGAGCAATGTCACTATTGAAATGCCAGTGCTGCGAAGAATACATTATGCAGCTGTTTCCAAACCCTTGGCATTTTGGTAACCCAGGTACAAGGGGTTTCGTTTCTATTCTCTGCAAAGTGTCGACAGAATTAAATTCAAGAACAAAACAATTACAGACCGCCCCCCCAAAAAAGAAAAAAATGACTACATTGCTGGATGTCTGACTAACTCATGTTAAACAAACCAGACCAAAGCAATGCAGAGAAAGGAATCGTTCTAAACCCATATGACTATATGTAACATTTTATATTCAAGTGTCATTAGCTCGCAAGTAAATTAATGCCTTGTCAAATACATGCTAGGAAACACAGCTCACCCATTAGATACATTTCCTTCACTGTTCCATGTACCGCTGATTTGCAGCTTAGGGACACACCACAAATACCTCTTGTGTTATAAATACAGCACTGCTCGAATCATGAGCTGCCAAGGGACTGAGCACCATTTCAAGGGGTTTAATGTGAAGGCTAAAGTTCTGCCAAAACTAGGGGTAGCACAATAAGCCCTTTGCTTGCTCCTTCTTTTTTCATCGAAGGTAGGTTATACACATTATATGGTCAGGTAATGTTGATTTGCTAGGTTTGGAAATCAACCAAGATGTCGATGGGTATACCTGAGCTGCACCATACGCATACATGCATAGATGGACACACAGGTACATGTGCGCTGACGACCAACATGAATTTGACTGCTTGTGGGATAAGATGGCAAATATATTCAATCCCCAGTGAGGTGAGGGTAGGATAGCTCAGCAATGTACTTACAGAGGAGGTAAGAGGTCATACCTTCTATGGTGATGGCCTGGTCTCCTCTCCGCTCCTGGGTCAGCAATGCCATGCTCTGGTGGTAAAGTTCTGCTCCGCTCTTTGCTGACCCTAATCTGTTCACCAGCTAAAGAAAATCATGCAATACTGAATAAAATATCAGGGTTATGTTATACAGAGAAGCCCCATTTTTAGCACACTGCAGCTAAGCCCTCAAAGGCAATGCAATTAAGTTGACTGAACAAATGGTGGAATAGTTTTGCTCCAGAAACTCCTGTGGACATAGCTGAATCCTGTGGTGGAAGGGGATGACCCTGAGTGATGAAGCCGATTCCTTCAGTAACAACCTCCTAATTCAGTAATATTTTATTTTAATATTTCAATTTTATTACTAAGAGCATGATACTACGTAACTATACAAAACAAAATTTAATTAAAAAAAATATTTTTTTATATATATTTTATATTTTATAGATATTTTATATTTTTTTCAATGGAATTTGACCCCTTAACTACATTATGTGAATCTGTTAGTTGATTTCTTATGATATACCGCAGCATAAGGGAACTTCATTGGTTCCCATTGTAGCTGAAACTCAAGCTTGCTTCTTCTTGTCTGGATTTGAGAGGTTCTCCCTTCAACTTGGGCTCAGAGCAAAACTTGGCATCATACCATCTCCTTGGATGTAATATCTGATTTTGGAGCTGGCTCTGAATTCCAAAACTCATCTCAGTTATCTATTATTTGATGAACCAAAACCTCAGATCCTAATACTAGGAACTGTTGAGGTTTATTTTTTTATTGATATGTTTCTTGTAACACTTCTGATGCTTTTATGGACCAGTCAGTAATATCAACTAGTAGAACTCTTCCCAGCTAGAGGAAATTCATATATTATGGCAAGAGTCAAAGAGATGGCCTTGAGGACTATTTTAACTTACCTCACATTCATAGTATCCCACGTCTTCCTTAGAGGGGTTTTTGATCACCAGGACTAACACGCCACTCCGTGGCTCACTGAAAGTCTGGTATTTACTGGGATCGGTCAGCAGGGCATCATCTTTGAACCACCTGGAAAAATACGGAGTCTCAGATGCAACAAAATACTGAGTTTGAGACATTTCAGTGAGTCGCTGGTTGATCAATTTGCACATGATGATCTTCTCAAGTCCCTTCCAGCCCTAATATCTATGAAATCTATGAAATCTATTGGGCAGAGCCAGGCAGATGTTACAAGTTTAGCCTCAAGCCTGGGCCCTGCAGTCTCTGCAGCTGAAAGGGCACGGACTCTGTTCCTATAGGAAAACGCTCTTCTCAAGAAACCCTCATGGAGTTGCATTGCCAGTCTGCAGAACATGAGCTTTCCTCTCTCCATATCATCATGGATGACCAAGAGCAGCTGGTGAAGTCAAGGCAGACTGCCTTATGCCATGTATTATTTTTCCTCTCACATACTTAATGCAATACACTGAATGAGAAACCTATCCAAAGGAATCAGGGACTGGAATCACAAGTCTAAGATGTGGACACCAGGACTGGGAAAGGATCATTTTGCAGGGCACAGAGTTGAGCTTTGGGGACTGGACAGAAGAGTTGATGCTCATTAGAGTACAGGAAGAGAAATCAAGACTGTGCAATCATTTGGTTTCTATCAAGAAATAACTTCAAAAACTGACCTGATTTGTGGGAAAGGTGCTCCTTCGATGGTACAGGTGAACTGAACATCTTCTCCTTCAACATAATAAGCATTTCTAACCTTGCTCACAAACCTTGGTGGCACTAGGAAGCAAGAACAAACTTGATCAAGAGCTGAAATGCTGATAGCAATCTAATACAAGTACAAAGAAGAACACAAACACCCCCACACCCCCTTGCACACTCACAGAAGTATAGCCCAGTTGGATCACCTTCCTTGATAGCTGTGTGCAACCTCTGAATAATCTGATTTTCTGACCCAAAGACAGTCCACTACTTCTGAGACACCAGAGGGCTTTTCCAAATGGACATGCCATATACATGCTGCATAGCTGCATGCATGCCTTAATACACACACCTAGTCAATTGTACATGACCAGTCCTTTAAAACCACATAGGACTTTACCTTGAACAAGGATCTTTCCTAGCGTACTGGCATTACCGGCAGGGCTGGCCGCAAAGCACATGTATTGTCCTGAGTCGACACCTGTCAGATTGTCCAAGATCAATGTGCATGAGCCGTCAGGATCTTCTATTATAATGTGATGTGGGTCCACCTCCACTGGTTTGCCATCTTAAAAACAAAAGGAGGAAAAGTCCTTTGTAGACACTGCATCATTTTAATATCCTCCCCCAAGAACTGCATCCTGCTTTTCCATTTTGGCTCCTGCCTACTTGAGGATGGCAGAGGCAGAAGATGTAGGGAGGCTGAGAGCTATATTTTTTAGTAGCAGAGAAACAACCTCTTCATCTTCCTCTGATTTGCTACAACACACACTGAAAACAAAGCTTAGGAAGCATTGCATCTACCAGAAGAAGCATGCCTAGATTGCTGGCAGTAAAGGAGCTAAATTTGGGCAGGTCTGCACTACATGGCAGTTTGCAGTATAGACAAACCATTAACTGAGCTATCCATTACCAAGCTTGCTGTGTAATACAAAGAATGGGCACAACCACAGGATGTATTGCTTATACCTTTATACCAGCTGATGACTGACTTAGGGGCTCCTGTAACTTTGCAGGCCAACTTGATCGTTTCGCCCAGCTCGGCTGTACAGTCAGCCAGCTCTTCCTCAAAGTCCGGAGGTACTGAAAGAAAAGAGGTTGGTTAGGTAATCCTTGATGGATTTCTCCAATGGGTGATTAATGTAACACAAAGAAATCAGGGGCAAACTCCAAATTTCCACAACTGGGAATCTGAAATGGAGGTTTCAGTAGCCAGTTGTTCCAATGACTACCTGGTATTTTCAATTATTTGTGATTCAGGAGAGATCACTAAATGGATCTGTTGAGTTTTAAGCCCTGATACTGGCAGATCCATAGGCCAAGGTTTCTCATAGTCAAGTGTGTGATTAACCTCAAAGGGGGAACATGTGCCTCAGCTGCTAGATCATTGTTGCAGAACTACACACAGGCTGTTGAGTTCTGTGGGATTGCTAATTATGGGATTTTTGTGTTGATGCCACATGGGAGTAAACTGAAACCCTTAAACTTAGTGGAGTTACAGAAGTCTCCAGCTGGCATTGATGGCTTTCTCCTCCCTGCACAGCTAATGCTAACACAACATCTCATTTCTGCATGGGAAGTGAGGCACAACCAGTGAAGCTATACCAAAGTCTCAGTCTGTCTCCCAGACCACTGGTTTTCAACCTTTTTCCATCTGTGGGCTCTTCAAAATTTTGAATGGAGGTGCGGAGCCCTTTGGAAATGTCGAATGGAAGTGCGGACCCCTTTGAATTGTAAGTGTGGGTATTTGCATACTTTTGATTGATCATAGTCACGTTTTGCAGATCTCTTAGCAATAGCCTGCGGGCCCCCAGGAGTGTGTGGACCACAGGTTGAAAGCCACTGTGCTACACTATACTCACTCCACACAGGCAGGCTGATACGCTGCTGTATGCCAGAGATTTCTTTCACCCAGGAGTTCTTGATGATGACTGTACGAGCTTGAAGTAGGTACTTGCGGACTGAGTCTTCTCGCTCATGCCAGATCTCAAAGGCCCGTTCATCTCCTTCCACTTGGTCATTCACATCTATGTTTGACAGCTGGACGACAGTAAGAAACACAGTAAAACTTCTTTAAAATTGGAGATGACACTGAACCGAAACCTTGATGACCTTCCCCCCTCCTCTGTTAGACAAAATCCCGAAGTTCAGGAAAGTTCAGATCTGGATCCAATCTTTGTGGCTCGGAACAACCTTCAGTAAAAAAATTAATAAAATAAAATGGAAAAGATCAATTAAGTGTCAACAAGTCTTCTATTTTCCCAGTGCAGGGTTGTTCCTCAGGGCATACCAAACCTATTTCTCATGTACATTAAGGCCATTTTACATCGCTCTGGCAGTATAAAAGGCCATTGACTATAATTAATGCCAAATGTTACAAGGTTTTTCCATGTGATTTACAACAGGTATCAGCAGCAACGCAAATGCTGACATTTTAATGGTGGCAAATGCTCCACAGTAAAAACTAAGAACGGCAGAAGTTAAATGAAGAGAAACTATAGAGAATGAATGAATGAATGAATGAATGAAAAGAGATATGGTACAATCTCATAACGAACCCCCATGGGACAGGAAGAAAAGTTCATTAAAGCAAGAAAATGTTCGTTATAGTAGGGTTAGTCAATCTGCTGCAACATAATAATAAAAAAGTGGTTCCTGCTGCTGTAATTGTTCAAAATCAGGTGTTGTTATACATCAGGTTTGTTGTGAAGAGATCATATTGTAATTCAGTTAGGCAACACAATCTACGCATGTGATTGTCAGGGGATACTGAGGCAGGGGCTTTCAAAGGTGCTTAGTGGTGTAGGCACCTAACTGTCATTGACTTTCAATAGGAACTGAGCATTTAACTCCCAAGAAAATACCATCTTTGATTTCCTATAATTATGCTCTGGGGAACAAATGGATGCCAGATGGGCCTGCCCACACCTCTGACTCAGTGAATGCCGAAGTCTGTGAAAGAGGAGTCATTTCAGTGAAGAACAAAGCCAGAAAAAACAATTACTGGAGATACAGTTTGGATTGAACAGCCATTATTCCAACTTCTTGACTTGAAAATACTATAGACTGCACTTTAGGGCAAGTTCGTTCACAGTTTGATTAACTGATTTCAACGAATGGCTTCAATGGGTAAGTTGGGATGAGCATTTCCTCTCACGTGCAACCTTGTTCCTATGCAGTGAAACTCTTCCTGGGTTTTCTTTAGGGATGTCTGATGTATTTTTGCCTTACTTCTTATGTACATTCAATCCTGTGCCATAACAGTGTTTTGGAAACAAAAGAATCCTAAGCAAGGGACTGGTGAAGAGTGATTTTTCTGATGGCTGGCAGCTGTCTTCAAGAGAAAAGTAATCATAAAAGGAGAGCAAGTGAATTGGGAAGAAAGTAAAGTAACATCTAACCTTCATCATGTTCTTGAAGGTGTAGGTATAGGTGTCTGTCTTGGTGTCCCGTTTGGGTTTGCATATCAGAACGTAACTCTTGAAGAGGAAGACATGGCGGTTGTGACCTTTCCATGCCATTCTGGCTCCTGGTGCTCCTTCCCACACAATGAAGTGACCCTGGAAAAGAAAGCAGAAAATAATAACAGAAGTAAACCCTGAACAATGTTATGGCATCTCTCCATCATTTACCAGCCACTGAATAGCAACTGTTAAATGTCCCATCCAGTTTGGCTTTTAGTATAACAGAGAAGACAGCTGTTACCATTGCATACTAACAATCTTTCCCCTAAAATCCAAATCCATTTCCAAAGATATCAATGGGGTGGCAGACATATCTTCTGACACATATATGGACTGTCCCGAATCTTAAGCTTTCATTACAGAGGCATGCAACATAAACTGTATAAACTTCAACTGATCCAGATTTTAAACCTGGGCTTTAAAAAAGTGCATTTGTTGGAAAACACAGCATGGCAATACAGGGCCAAATTCCATAAGACCCTGTGGAAAAATCTCATCATCACCCTCAATGAGGATTTGGCCCCTATACTTTATTGATAGCATATGCAGTCGATACTGAAACAAGCTGTATAAATTCAAATCAGCACATGAATATATAAAATAGGCATTTACAGGCAGCAAGGGCAATTTCCTACCATATAGAAGGTGAGTTGTACAGAAAAATACTTGTGTTACCCATGGATAGATAGGTAGGTGCCTATGCTTTGGGACCTTCAGGCATAGCCTTGAGGCACCCCCAGGTCTATGCTTTGAGGCCCCCAATCTGAAAGAGCCACCTTTAATACCGACTGCAATTTCTTATACAGAACAATGAAGAACAAATGGCATTTACTCTGAATGGCGTTCCACTAGCTTTCCACATCAAGCCATGATTTGAATTGCAAAGGAAATACCGATGACACCAACCAACAACTCAGCAATGGTGGGCGGATGATTAAGATGGACTATGCACTTTCAGAGGGTCAGTACCTGTCGAATAGGTTCTCCAAGGATCTCCAACGTCCCTGGGTAGTTCTCAATCAGTGAGACATGGAGGTTGTTTTCTGCTCTCCGGGTGAGTGCCGATACAATGGCATAAGCCTGTTCCAGCAGCGCGCAGTTTTGCCGATTTCTTGCTTTGTTCCGGATTAATTCCTACAAGTGAACAAAGCTGTTACTGGTCATTTCCAAGAGCCTCCATTTTATTGCTATAACCGGGGAGCGTAGGCAGGATGCTGAATGTTTCTTTTCATGCTGGACCAGCCTTGTTTCGTGCTTTCACTCACTGGTTAGCTACCATCAGTGTACTTTCTTTCTATCGAAGTTCATGGCCTCTGTGCTGCCCTGCCCTTGAAGCAGGTATTAGTGAACGGTGACAAGGATAAAGCAAAACCCACAACTAGGATACCTATCTGGCTGACTGAAGACTAACCAACAAAGAGATCCGTATTTTTATGTAGCATCTCTTGAATGCATCTTTCACTATGATAACACCAAGGAAGGAGTGCCAAAATAAAAGTGGAAATCCAGTGGAAGTCGGAAGGGCAGTACATGCAAAAAATAAAATAAAATAAAAATGCTGTGGCTCACCTATATGTTTCTCCTAAAACTAATTTAAATAGTACTCTTCTTGTCCCTTTTTAATGTGGGGTTTGTACAGAGGCTTCAAATGATTTTGCTGTTCGGAGCTCAGACAAGCACGCCAATGAAGGGAGCAAATTTGAACCTCCCCCAAACAATTGAGAATGCTGAAATTTGGAAAATTGGAATTTGAAAAAATGTAACAAGAGGCTCTTTCTGGGGCCCATTTCCTTGTGCTCCCTCTACAAGTGTCACAAGAAAAATGGTAGTTTGAAACGGTCATTTCTGCTCCTGCCTCGAACCTGGAAGTGCAGGAGTAAAAGAGTAAGAGCCTCAGATGGCAAAATATTTCCAAACCTTCAAACATGGGCTGCTCTGGACTCTTGAAACAGGCAAAGATTTGCAGAAAAAGAAGAATTAACTCTTCTGTGCCTAAGCTTATCTTTATTTCAGCCTCAAATGCAAAGAAGGAAGTTGCCTGCCTGGACAAGTCCGTGATTTGTGGGATGAAGGCCAATTTAACAGATGCATTGTCATATGAGAAGCAAATGTATATTCTTAATGGGCATAATCTTTTAAAGTCCACACGGGTGCAGCTAGCTGCATTTCTCACACTTGTTAGGTGGCAGTTGAGACTCTGTGCACCTCTCACGTGATTTGGGTTTACATATTTAAAATGTACAAATGTGCTTAAATGTGATCTCACCTACTCCAGACAGACTCCAAAGGAGTTTCCCTGGCATGAAACCAGGATAAGTGAAATCAAAGTCAAAGCACTTTTCCCCCATAGGCCCCCCCCAGAGGAATGCAAACCTCTCACGTAAGGAGCGGCACGAACTTGCACTGGAGACTCCTTACCTTGATTACAGTTTGATACTGCTGGATCCTGTTTATGGGTCTCTCCAGGTAGTGCTGCAGTGGGGGGACAGGTGGCTGAGACGGATCCTCGCTAGCTAACGTTTCCTCGGAGTATCTCTGAGGAAGAATTCAAAATGAAAATCGCTCTGTGTGTCAAAATTGTTCAATAATGACAAGAAACTCGGCCCGTGAAAATATGATCGGACAACACTGGCTTGATAAGGTCAGTCCTCCTCTCAAGTAAACGGGATCATATAGTGCAAAAATACATCTTAGAGTCCTGTGTACCATCAAAACTTTGCTTCCGGCAATACACATTGCAACCTACCCTGTTCATTGCCTTCCCCCATCTCGTGGCAATTTCTGGTCCCTCGATTGCAAGAGGTTGAGGGGAAAGACTGCCTTCTATTATTATCATTGTTATCATCCCTATTAACCCTATTATTATTATCTTCCCTATCACTAGTATTATTAAGAAACAGGAAACCCTAACCCAACAACAACTGTAGCAAGGCAATGAGGCATGCTGCTTGGAAACATCGTATGCTTGAGTTCACTTGTTTTTATCTTATCTCTAATCAGATGCTGCCAAATACTATTACAAAGTCTTCATGTTATACTGCAGTTATTGATCTGTGGCTAGAACAGACTGATCATTTCAACAGCTAAAGGAGCGTTTGCATATTGATGTGAAAGGACCCAAATCTGAGCCTCCTCAGTGCTTGGTTAGGGCTCCTTCTAGCCATCCTTATTTTAGCTTTGTTGCCGCTGCTAATAGAAGCTTTATCCATCTTTCTTCCACTCTAAAGATTACTGCACCCCAATTTGTAATAATTTCCTATTTAGCTATATAATAATGTTACATTTATAACAATGGATCTTTGGACATTTAGTGGCTGGAGATATAGGATGCATAGTTCCCAGTATAAATTTTGGCTCATATTTTACCTTGTAGAAGTCCTGAACAGCTTTGCTGACAATGACGGACTCAGCCTGTATCCGTCCCACCAGATACTGGATGTACTTATCAAAATCCTCCTCGTTCTTAATGAAGCACATGGCCACATCATCATCAGTGTCGCATTTCTTCAGGTCTGGGAAGAAAGCGCTGCGGAGGAGGAGAAAGAAGGACATCTGTGAACCCATTGGCTATAAATAAACTGTTGAAATATTAAAGTGTCTTCAAGACTGGACCATCTTTTTTATAGGAACACCGTGTTATTCACTGGAATTCACCCAACGGGGCAGGGATTATTATTTTAGGACTGTCACTCCTTTGCTGATGAACCATGCCATCTCCTAACAGGCTCATCCACTCCTTTTTATCCTAGCGTTCCCCGTTTCCCGTGCCCTGCCTGTCCCGTGGCGACTCTCACTAACAGCACAAGGTGTTTCTCTCTCCTGCTGCTGCTCCTCTCCACTGACCTGCAATGGAAGTGAGCAATGTCATTGACATTTCTGAAGATGATGGACTTCTGACTAGCCACAGGCGCTGGGACACTGGAGTAGGTCTCGATGTGGTGCAGATGGTGAGTCTGGAGGAACTGCAGATCTTTGACAAACTCCTCCTCTGAATTCAGTAGTTCCTGAATAATAAGGCTGGAAGAAAAAACAGACAAAGAGGAAGCACGGAGCAATAACAGAGATGGCATTTGAGGCAGTAGGAGATTTCCAAGATGTTCTTTCCCTTAGGGTTTGTTCTACAGGGTGATGAGCTCCCACGTCAACCATTAGAGTCGCTGGGGCTCAAGCCCGCAGAGCAGAGATTGGGTAGATGAGTGCACAAAACATAACCAACGTGAAAAAGAGAGACATGGAGAGACTGAGGTTGGGGATGCTTTTCTCCTTGTTCACTCTCAGTGAGAAGAGACTTTAGGAGGAACAAGGCAGCTGCAGCTTAGATGCCGCACTCTGGCATTGCTGCCCCGGCCAGGCCACATAGGGCAGATATCCCTAGTCCGGACTCAGCAAGGTGGTGGATTGCACTGGGAGAGGTGGAAGGCTCTGCATGGCACTGATAGCACACTGCAGTCCCTTCTTTAAACATCATACCATGGGGAAAGGCCCCTCCAGAGGCAGAAGCAGCTACACTGGAAGGGGCAGCAGAGACTTGGGGCTTCTGTGGAGTCAAAGAGCCTAGCAGGTTCAATACTCAGCTACGTGGCAAGGGACAACAAAGAAAATACTCCCATCAAGCCTCCCAAAGTGATTTGAAGCACAGCGTGTTTTCTGCATCCTACATCGAGAGAGACTCTCAATGCAAGTCCTGCAAACACAGGCTAGGCAGGAGTCCTCTTGAGGGCAGCTGGGTAGGGAGGCAGTAGGATTCAGCAGCAAAGGAGCTGGATTGTAGTGGGATTTTAGTGAGATGGACTGGGAAGGGTCTTGGATAAAAGCACTCCTATTCATCTGCAGAGCAGCCTATTGAGGGCTACAGCACAAATCAACCGAGTGCTTACTTCAGCTTCTTCTTATATTCATCTTCAGACAGAGACTCTCCAGGGAACTCAGGAACCTCTGGCACTCCCCACTCAGGGGACAGCTGACAAGCACAAAAGAAGCATCAGTTTTGTAGGAAACGGCACTGCAGTTGCTGCGGGGTCTAACAAGAGCACGTTTGCAGGGTCACCCCAGCCTTGCTGCTATCGCACCGGGCTTGTTTCTGCTCCTACAGCCACTAAATATGCTCCCTTTTCAGATTCAAATCGCCTCTAATGGAACTGCCAAAGGAAGGCCTGGATACATGCTGTGTACACAAGTGTGTGACTTGCACCACTTTATACACTGATGCAAATTATACCCCAAACCGGAGCAGACAGCTAGCACCAGGGCAGCTTCCTACTGCTCTAGCATCCCATCACAATGGATGAGGACCGCAGGTATTAGCTTGGTCCCTTGAGGCGAGACTATTTTGGGACAAGTTGTGAATGCTCAATGCCCCCCCGGTGTGTAAGTTAACCCCTGCCTTTGCTGAGTGATCATACACTCGATTCAAGCCGTTTGCACTGGGGTAAGGTTTTCCATCATCCATCTGCTCATTTTTTACCAGAGCCAAGGTCAGTGACGCTGGTGTAAGCGTATCACGTGTTTAGACCCATAAACAAGCAACTATAAAATGCATAGAAAACAAGGAAAAAAGATCAATCACCTTCAACTTCTTGTCTAGATATGCTGGAGAAACCCATCCTTGCCGGGAGGGGCTGGATTTAGTGGGCTTGGTCCTGACTAACCACTTCAGGGGATGAGCTGAATCGAGGACTTCCACATACTGGCCTTCCTTCAGAACAATGGCTTCCCTTTCACCTCCAATGGGCATGTAGTCGGCTGTGGCCATGTAGATGTCAAAGATCTGCAAGCACGGAGAGTTATCTGTGTGTGTTACAGGAGGGAGATGATCATAACAAGAGCACCTACAGCTTCCACCAGGATTAAACAGTTTATCTCCTCAATCCCTCCATGGTAGAAGGGAACCATTATTCCCATTTTACAGATGAGAAACTGAGACTCAAGGAGGTAGAGGCCAAATTAAAAAAAAAAAAACACCCATAGTGTCCAATTTACAAAACCCAGGGCCTGATTTTCCCCAAATGATGAATTCCTACAGCTCCAACTGACTTCAAACAGAGCTCAGCAAGGAGAGTCAGGCAGGATCCTGATTTCTTGTTTCAGGGCAGGAACCTCTGATTTTAAAAAAAGCTTTTGTTGTGAAATGAAAGGAAAAAGAACATGTTCACAGTTTCCCTTAAAATAAAACTTGAATTTAATAATAATTTGAAATTGGAATAATGTTCTCTTCCAGGCAGATATGGAACAGTCCATTCCAAAGTTCATGGCTGGATTTTCTTTTAATACATTTCATAGCAGGAAATAGCAACGTTTGTTTCTAGAAGCAACTTTTTGACTCAAATGGATGGATTTTGTTCTGCTAATGTCAAAACGTGGTGTTTTAAGAAGACTGGAAAGCTTCATAAGGTTGATTTGAACCCGTTTTTTTTTAAATCAATATAGTTTTCAAAACATTTTCATTTAAACAAAAACGGCATTTTTCGTGGACAAAACATTTCAATGACATTTCCAAAAGGCGTGCCTCAGTGCCTTAAAACATCAAGATTTGGATGTGTCGAATTTGGAAAGACTTGATGCATTCAAAATGAAGACGAACTATTTGGAAATGATGAGCTAAGCCAGTTCTGGATGGCCATGCAGCGAGAGTGGGAACTTAGACTTTAATTGACGGGCCTGTGCTCCGTTGAGAGGCCTCTCGGGCTCTCCATATAGGTGTAACTCTACAAGTCTTTTTAAGGTGGCAATCTTTAAAACAGAGTAGAGGTGGGAGTAATCAGCCTAGACAAACATTTCTGCCAGCAAACACTTTATGAAGTCGATTCACGTGGAGTACCTCCCCTCTCGCGTCCCCGTCTTCAGATTCAGAAGAGGATTCCTGAGCGATCGACGAAGGTCTGGACCTGCCATGACGCGGAGATGGTGACGGGGTCTTGGACTCGTCATCACTGTCTGCCCCAGGTACACGAAGCGTGGCTGAAAAGAGAAGTAGAGAAAGGGGCACGTAAGTTAAATTAGGATTATCAAGTAGGATTCAATGCTTGATCTTCATAGAATTAAGTGTCTTCAGAAAAGACCACTTATAACATGAATCATGGTGTCCTTTTAGTAGGATTGCCTATGCAAATTGGACATTTTAAAGCCACAAAAGAACATTATTTGCTTCAGCAGGGATGCAGAACGGTGCAGACACCAGTCACAAGCCTTTATCTTCTCTGTAAGTTCAAATCACTGGAGGAGCAATATGACTATAGAAGACCCAGCCTCTAGTTAAATGCAAACAGGCCCGATAGTCATTAACATTATCACTACAAGACATGCTTATGAAACAGCATACAACTATAGCTCAGTGCAATTTTATACCAGCAGCAAACTGCTCCCATTTTTTGGCTTCTGCACTGCAGGTCTGAAGAATCAGTGGTTAGATAACTACCTGCTTTTTCAGTAGGCAAATTAGATATAGTAAGCAGCTGTCTCATGACAGAAACTTGCACACACATTTCATTGCAGGCATGATTTTTATCAGTCAAAACTTTGGCCCAAGAATTGGAGGCCTGGAGGATTTCTAGCTGCAAACTAGACATCTTCCAATGAAAAACTGCTAAACTGATTTTCTTCAAACCTGGCTTGTTTTGTAGCACACAATGGGCACATCTACACCTGTGCTTTAATGTGCATTAGCCTATCTTAATGAGCATTAAAACATCACAAAAAACCCTGTGGTTTCACTAACGCACGTTAAAATACGCTAATGCGCCTTTTTCTAGTACCTCACGATGGAAGTACTAAATTTAATGTGCATTAGCAAAAGTGCATTAATGAACGTGTAGACATGCCCAATGAGACTTAAACTCGCATGAAACTGGAGGATCAATTGCATCACTTTGTACAGTAAATTAAACACATTTGCCAGGTGCTAACTTACCCTGACTTATTTTTGCAGACACTATTTCTGTGATTTGGGAGGTGAGTTTCTGGAGGAATTCTTCCGTTCCAACATCAGATAATGAAATTTGACTTCTGGACACACCTTCTCTACCAGCTTCACCTTCTAAAAGCTCTCCTGCCAAAAGGGAGAACATTTTGTGAAGTAGGTAACACCACCTCTGAACGTCCACCCCATCAAACCAGACATGACAAAACTATCCTGCAGAAGCTGACATCAGGAAGATGGACTTCACATGCATTCTCTATTAGACTGCAGAGCTCACCTCTGCACCAAAAACAGACTCTTCCCCTCCCAGTAGATTGGGTAAATAGCATGTTGTAACTGAGGAAGAAACCATTCATTGAACAATGAAGATTAAAATCAAATTAAAATTAAAAAGCTGCTTAATTTTCTGTGTACTGCCCAATCTATGCAGCAAATGATGCAGGGGTCCCACACAAGAAGAGTGACTATGTAATTAAGGACGACTTGATAATGCATAAGTAGGCAGTGTTAAAGTTGTTCAGGCAACCTTGAACTTGTCACGGCCTGGCATTTCCTGAACGATTCAGATCCCACGGTGACTGACGTGATGTAAAAACTCACTCGACTCCCTTAGGCTACGTACTTATGCGGTCTTCTGAGTTCTGCCTCCTCTGGTTTGAAATTCAACTCTATTCAGAAAGCTAATAAAAGGTCTATATGAGTAGCTTAACAATATTGTCACGTGCTCTGCAGGATTCAAGTGAAGGATAGGTTTTGCGTTGGGCTTCTGCATGGGGCAAATTGTACCCCTAAGAGACAAATCTTGGGTACGATTCTGAGTGCATAGCTAGAGACCGGCCAGGAAGGCATGCATAGCACAAGGCACCTGGCTTCGGAGCATTCAGTATCTTTGTTAAAAACTCTGCTATTGCTGTTAATGAGCTTCTGACAGGTTCATAACTCAGCTGAGCTCAAACTAATTTCTTTCATACTGAAAAGCATTTATTTTCCCACAAGGTTTCTTTCCTTTTGAATTTTCAGCTTTGTTCCCATTCATAGATGTTAGGGTCGGAAGGGACGTCTATAGATCATCGAGTCCGACCCCCTGCATAAGCAGGAAAGA